TGCAAGAGGCACTGGGTTTACTCCCCAGTACCACACATGAAGAAAAAGTCCTTTTTCACTTAAAAATGACTTCATAAGCACTTCAAATGTTATTGCAATCTCTTTGGACATATATTTTGAGATAAAATTCACAAATTATAAAGTTCTGCATTTTCAACCATGTAATTCAGTGAATTTCAGCATGCTTTCCATGTTAAATCAATGTTCATATTTTGAAAATTCCTAATAAACAGAATTATATCATGTGTGGTCATGTATGTGTGTCTTACTTCATTCTGTCATACTTAGCATAATGGTTAAGGTTTATCCATATTGTAGCATGTGCCAATACTTTATTCCTTTTTATTGAATAAAAATATTGGTTTTTTGGAAAGTAATAAAAGGAATAAAAATGTTTTATGGAGCAATATTCAAGGGAATGGATATATCAAATTTTGCTTATCAGTTCATCATCAGTGGACATTTGGGTTGTTTCCACTTTTTGACTATTATGAATAATGCTGCTTCATTTGTGGACAAGTCTTCATGTGAACATGTGTGTTTAATTGTCTTGGAATATATGTACAAGTGGAATTTGCTGGGTGTTGTGGTAACTTATGTTTAACTTTTGAAGCAACTAACAGTTGCTTCAAAAACATTTTCTTGTGCCCTTTTTTTGTGCCCCCATTCCTCACCAAGCAACCGATATGTTTTCTGTCATTATACCTTGGAGTGTCTCAAATTTTGATCATATGTAAATATACTCATTTTGTCTTTTGCTCAGCATAGTTATTTTGAGACACATTTATTTGTTGCCTTTAATCATTAGTCTTTTTTTATTGATGAGAATTTTGTTATATAAACATTACTTGACATCCATTTATCTGTCTTTGGACATTTGAGTTGCTTCCAGTTTTTGACTATTATAGCTACTGTGTGAACATTTATGTGTAAAGCTGTGTGTATATATGCTTTTACATCCTTTAGGTGGGATGGAACAACTGATGTTTTTGGAAATTACTAGACTATTACCCAAAGTGCTTGTACCATTTTGTATTTCCACAAGAAGTGCATGAGTTGTTTTTTTTTGCTCATCCATGTCCTCATCAACATTTAGTATTGTGGCTGTATAATTTTAGGCAATCTTATATATAAAGGAAAATATAGAGATATGTACTTTGTAAATATATATAAATGAAATGCCTAAATTTTCATTGAACATTGGTCTAGATGCGGCTCTCAAGTTATGGTTTACATATAGTCAACAAGCAAATCAGACTTGAGTAGATTACTCTCTAGTCAAGTGGTGAACTCATCCTATTATTTGAGCGCCTCCAGAGCAAAGTCTGAGGTTTTCCAAAAAAGTATTTCTCCCTGAGATTTAAACTTAGAAAGCTTGCCTGAGTTTTTAGCCAGGGGAATTCAGACTCAAGACTAGAATCTWATGTCTTGCTGAATTTACAGCCTATGGAGCCTATTTTATGATTTCGAATTTACCATCCCTCACAATCATGTGAGTCTATTCCTTTAAATAAATCATTCTCTCTTTATAAAAAAGTATAGCTGTATCATATTGTGGTTAATTTCCAACTCCATTAAGATGCAAATTAAAAATTTAAAAAAATCTTTCCATATGCTAGTTTAGCCCTTTTCCATGAAATGTCTGCACAAATATTTTGCCTACTTTATATAAATGTATATATAAATATATTTATACAATGTACATTCGTGCACATCTCTCTGTATAGTTCATCTTATTAATGTGAATTCATTTCATATTCTAGCTGTAAGCTCTTTGCCAGTTACATATTTATCAAATGTCTTCTCCCAGTCTGTGGATTTTCTTAATATTATCTTTTGAAAAGAATATTAATGAAGTCCAGCTTATTTGCTTTTAATTTATTCTTGTTGTCTTTAAATAGATTTGGAGACAACTTTACAACAGTGATTTTTACAATAGGTAAATATATCATATTGTATGGTCTGAATGCCCCCTTCCCCCCAATTCATGTGTTGAAATTTCATTCCCATTGTAGTGGTATTAAGATGGGGCCTGAGAATGGAACCACCATTTAACCCAGCTATCCACTCCTTGGTTTATACCCAAGGGACTTAAAAATCAGCATAGTATARTGATGCAACCACACAATGTTTATAGCARCTCAATTCACAATAGCTAGACTATGGAACCAGCCTAGCTGTCCCTCAATAGATGAATGGATAAAGAAAATGTAGTATATATACTCAGTGGAATATTACTCAGCTTTAAAGAAGAGTAAAGTTATGGAATTTGCCAGTAAATGGTTGGATTTGGGAATATCATGCTAAGCKAAATAAGTCAATCCCACAAAATCAAAGGCCRAATGTTTTCTCTAATATGTGGATGCCAATTCACAATAAGGCGGGGGGCACTAGGGAAGAATGTGTTACCTTAGATTAGGTAGAGGGAAGGGMTGGGAGGGAAGAGGAGGGGATGTGAGGATAGGAAAGACAGTAGAATGAAACAGACATTATTACTGTATGTATATATGTGACTACATGACCAATGYGATTCTGCAACATGTACACTCAAAAAAATGAGAAATTATATCCCATCTATGTATGATATATCAAAGTGCATAAATGCATTCTACTGTCATGTATAACGAAAACAAATTTAAAAATTAAAAAATGATATAGTGAATAAAATTATAAATCAGATGGTATAAAGTTGAAATTCTAAAAAAAAATGGGGCCTGAAGCAAGGTACTTAGGCCCATTTTTGTCCTTCTACTATCTTCTACTTGAGGACAGTGCTCACCCCTTTTCTGTCATGTGAGGATGTAAGAAAAAAGCCCTTACCAGACACTAAGTGCCAGTGCCTTGATCTTGACTTTCCAGACTGCAGAACTACAACAAATTTCTATTGTTTATAAATTACTCAGTCAGTGGTATTTTATTATAGCAGAACGAGGTACTAAGGATATTTCTTCAGTTATTTAGGTTATTTCTCTAAGATGTGTTTTAGAAGTGTTGGTCAGAAAACAATTATCCTTAATGTATCAAATTTAGCCCATGGCTTGCTTTGTTATGGTTTCTGAGATAAAAATAATTAAAAAAATATTCTTAGTTGTAGATGTTCACAATACCTTTATTTTATTTAGTTTTTTTTTTTTTAATGTGGTGCTGGGAATCGTACCCAGTGCCTCACACATGCTAGGCAAATACTCTACCACTGAGCCACAATCGCAGCCCAAGATAAAAATAATTTTTACATTTTTAAAGGCTTGTGAAAATTCAGAAAAAAGTGGGAGAAAAACTAAAATACTCCTATTAAAGAATTGTAAAGAATTGTGTATGGACGTTAAATATAATTAAATTCATTTCCAGGTATTTCATATTTGTTCCAGGCATTTCATATTAAAAACATGTTTATAAGAAGTTTATTGAAAATATCACATTCCTGGTACAAGGTCATTGTTTTATTGATTTTCAATTGAATAAATGAAGGAAAACATATTCATTATCAGAAATAAACTTTGGAATCAGTTTATTAAAGGATAAGACCATGACAGGTCAGCAAAAGGAAGACACTGAAAGAAATTTTAGTATGCGAAGATTCCCTTTTTCTTGACCTCCTGCCTCTGGTCTCTGATCTCTCCCCACACTCTTGACAAAAACTTCTGGCACCTGAAGGATGTGGATATCCTGGCATTGTTTTTAATTTTTCTTTTTTTCATTGCTGATGGATTAGTTAGGGTTTTCCAGGAAAACAGAAGCAAGAGGATGAAGAGATATAACTTATTTGAAGGAACTGATTCACACATGATTGTGTGAGAGAGAAAATTTAAAATCATAGGACAGGCCCCACAGGCTGGAAGTTCACCCAGATGAGATTTCAGTCTTGAGTCTGAATTCTCCTGGGCTGAAAACCCAGGCAAGGTTTCTAAGTTGAATTCTTAGGGAAAATGGCTTCTTTGGCAAACCTGAATTTGCTCTTGAAGGCTTCAACTGGTATTACTAGAGGGTCATCTACTCCAGCGTACAGAATTGCCTGTTAACCACCATCTAAAATATAACTTCGGAACAACACCTAAAGGGTGTTTGACCAAAGCTTAGTCATTTCCTCACATCCTCTATGTAGGAGACTCCTCCACCTGTTCTTCCACAGAGGGTAGCCTTTTCAGCTCTATATTTGATGGGTAGATAGGGGTTAAGAGTTGGGACCCCCATTTCCTTTGGTCTTGGTCTTTTGTCTTGCATTACGTCTGCACAATCTCAAGGTCTGGGACTATACTAATCAAAAAGTGACCCTCAGACCAGTAATACCAGCCCACCTGGGGCTTTATTAAAAATGCAGAAATCTCAGGTGCTCCCTCAGAGCAAAGTTGTCCTTTGGGATTTTCCCCTTTTGACTTCCTTTCTTTTCTAACCAGCTGTACACTTACATGTGCCTTTTTCCTGTGTACAGGGGGGAAAAAAGTTTTTTAAAAACCGCAATCTTAGGAGTAACTGCATTTAAGTCTTGCCCTTTAAATCAGAAAAAAACCAAGCGAAGTCAATCTCGGTTYGTTAGACGTTTGCCAGCATGAGTGCTGGGACCGGCTTCCGGCGGTCGCCCTTTGGTTGGTTACAAACTATTAAACACACCAGTGAGAATAAAATACGTCGGTACTACTGCGCCTCTGCCAATTTCTTCCCAAGTCGCTATCAAACCTCCCGTCTTCCGTTCCCCTGCCGCAGCAAAGCTTGCAGGATTCAATCACCCGAGGCCACCCAGCCACCAAGAAAACCCGGAGTAATGGATCAGGGGAGTAACCAGTGTTCCCAAAGCGGCAGAGGAACCGACGGAGCATGCGTAAGGAAGGGTGCGCGCGCGTGCGCATTGGTTCGCGCAGGGGCGCGCGCCGTCGCTCTGGGCGGCTTGGAGGCTGCGCGCGCGGTTGACGTGTTCGGTGGTTTGGAGGCGGCGAGACTCTTGGAGGGGAAGGAGCAGCGGGGAGGGGGGTGAGGTGGGTGGCTGAACCCGGAAGTGGGTAGGCGCTGGAGCGAGCGCGCCCAGAGTGGAGTCAGCGGCTAGAGTCAGCGGGGGAGCCCTGGGTTCCCGGTAATGAATCTGTGGGGCGTTTGCCTAGGGATACTGGGTGGGAAGGGTAACGGGTTTCTGGTAGGCGAGCGCATTCTCCACCTGGCCCGGGCCTTGAAAGGCTCTTTTGCTTATTTTAGTCGTCCCTGTGTTTGACCCCACTCTTCTTGCTCTGAGCCCCTTCTGGGGCCGTCTCCTGCCGGGTGGTTTTGGGAGAGGGACGCGTTAGGTCTGTGAATAGCTGTGCATTGCCCCGCATAAAAAAGCATGCTAATGGAAAGACTCGGATTTCGTGGCCGCGACGGCCTTATTGTCACTATTTCAGCGCCCCCAAAACATGACTGCAGCCCCCTTCAACCTCCATCGTCAAGGATCTTAGAACTCTCCCKCTTCTGTCCAGTTATTTCCACCCTGTTCGTAAATCAGGCCTGGAWGGTGTGCTCTTGCTTCCTTTAAACATTATTCTTTTGTTGGCTGTCTTTTCTAACCTGGCCCTCCTTGTTCTCCGCCCTAAAATCTTAGCCACGAATGAATGTGAGTGTGACTTGATGGTAACTTAGTTATAATTTAGGAAGGAGCTGACAAATGCCTGTGACTGATTTAAGGTTGCTTTGCCTGAAGTTATTTTACATGATTCTTACTTTTGCAGACCATGAAACCCTCAGGCACCCCTGTCCAGAAGCTGTTGTCCAAGACAATCTAGTTTTCCTTTATGAATCTCTTAAGACACTTATGAAGTTTCTTGTTCTGAAATTGCTGTACTGCAATGAAGAAAAGGAGAAAGGTTACTTCAAATCTTGACGAGAAGATCCATCTTGGCTATAAAGATTCTTCGGAAGGAAATGTTGCAGTGGAATGTGACCAAGTGACCTGTACTCACTCTACAGAGAGACCTACAACTGAAGCTCTGCACTGTTATCAGGAACTTCCTCCCTCTCCAGATCAGAGAAAGCTTTTGAGTTCTTTGCAGTATAATAAGAATTTGCTCAAGTATTTAAATGATGATAGACAGAAACAACCATCTTTCTGTGATTTACTTATCATAGTAGAAGGAAAAGAATTTAGTGCACATAAAGTAGTTGTTGCTGTTGGCAGTAGTTATTTTCATGCCTGTTTGAGCAAAAATCCAAGCACTGATGTTGTCACTCTGGATCACGTAACACATTCAGTTTTTCAGCATTTGCTTGAATTTCTTTACACATCAGAATTTTTTGTGTACAAATATGAAATACCTCTTGTTTTAGAGGCTGCAAAATTTTTGGACATTATAGATGCAGTAAAGCTGCTAAATAATGAAAATGTTGCCGCTTTTCAATCAGAGCTAACTGAAAAGTCATCACCAGAAGAAACACTAAATGAATTAACTGGAAGATTATCAAATAATCATCAGTGCAAATTCTGCAGTAGACATTTTTGTTACAAAAAGTCTTTAGAAAATCATTTGGCTAAAACTCATAGGTCCCTTTTGTTAGGGAAAAAACATGGGTTAAAAATGCTGGAGAGAAGTTTTTCTGCAAGAAGATCAAAAAGGAATCGGAAGTGCCCTGTTAAGTTTGATGATACCAGTGATGATGAACAAGAAAGTGGTGATGGGTCAGACAATTTGAATCAAGAAAGTTTTGATAAGGAAAAGTCAGATAAAAATGATTCTGAGGATCCTGGAAGTGAATATAATGCTGAAGAAGATGAACTAGAGGAGGAAATGTCAGATGAATACTCTGACATTGAAGAACAAAGTGAAAAAGATAATGAAGCAGAAGAGGAACCCGAGGCTGGTGATTCTGTAGGAAGCATTCACGAGGGGTTAACTCCAGTAGTCATTCAGAACAGTAACAAAAAAATATTGCAGTGTCCTAAATGTGATAAAACATTTGACCGAATAGGTAAGAAAACTTTTGTTTCTTATCACTTACTTTACATGGATATTTAAAGGTAATAATTGGAAACTGAAGTTTGAAAATAAAGAGTGCTTAAGTAGGGAAGATAATTTTCTTTTCACTGTGTACTTTATCCTATTATTTTAAATTTGTTGTGATTCAGGAATCATGTTAAGTATTTATATTACCCTTTATTTTTTCTTTGTCATGTCCTAATAGGTAATAGATTATTAGTTCATGTATTTAATATGAAAGATACCAGAGAATCAATAATTATCATGAACAGCTTTGATTTATATTGCAGTTTTGAAGATGAGTGCTAACTTGAGTCATTACAGAAAATGTAATTGGATTATATTTAGTAATTTGTTTACTGTTTTCCCTTTGTACATGATGATAAATTATAAATATAGTCACCTTTCTAGTGTTTTTTAGAATTAGAATGTTTTAAATTAGACTAAAGTGAAGAATAAAATTATACTGTAATTGAATAACTTTAGATAGATAATTTAGGAAGTACCCTAGTTATTAACACTAATTATTATAAAAATGAATAAATCAAATTTTTCCCTTTTAAAAGAGTATGTAGGAAATGTGGTCCATAACCTGAGGTTTTATGTCAGTGCATATTTAATTTTGAGATGTCAGATATTTGCTAGTAAAGCAATTTTGAAGAAGTCATATAAACTATTTAATGCATACTCTTTAATTGAAGTAGTTAAGCTATTTACGTGTAAATTGAAGTTATGAAATTGTGAAATATATTCTACCACACATAATGATAAGAACATAATGAATTTAATCTGAGTTTGTTTAATATGTTCCCAGGTGTATTATACTTTTGAATTATTATGTTATTGATATAGGTGGAAATTGGTTTTATAAGGTATTAATCATTTGCTATCAAAATATAGCTACAGCATACAGTAGGCATTAAAGTAGTAACTTTTTGCTTTTTATAAAGTTTTTTGAATACATTATCTCTGAATCAGAATACTTTTGATAATCCAATTTGGCAATTATTTATTAATTTTTTATTGTGAAGCTGTATGCCAACATGAATAAAATAACTTTTCAGTCAATCAGAAGAGCTCATTACAAGACACTTGTTAAAGTCAGGCTAGATATTTGCTGTTGAGAATTAACAAAGTTAAAAGAACGTATGTATTTAGGAAAGAACAGCTTTTTGGGGTTTATGTACCTGAGAACATTTCATCTTTCTAATGGATTCTGCGTCTTTGACCTTTGTACCCTTAGCACATGCTTCCTGTATCTACTTTAATTGACCTAATTTCACTTGGAGATGAGTGAGCAAGGGTCAGTTAAAACATGCATTGTAGATCCACCACATAGATCTTAAATTGTCCCATCAAACACACTAGGCCTGTGAGATACTTTCTTAGAGAGGGATTCTGGATTGCAATACAACTGGRAAACTATATAATAATCTGCATTAATTCTGCAAAATTCTATAAACATAAGCTATGGTAATGTCTGACTGCCTGGGTTTTTTTGAATTCAAGTCTTGGGTGATTTACTTAGCCTGTCTATGCTTTATTCTCATAAAGTGAGAGAATGCTAATATGATGCTCATAGTACCTTCTTATTGGGGTTATAATGGGGATTAAATGCGATATTTCTAGGAAATCACTTATTGTACAAAATTTATGTGTTCAAGGAATTCTGGCTGCTATTACATACTTACTGAGCCTCTAAACTACCAAACACAGATAAACCAATAGGAAATGATATATTCCCTGTCCTTAAGAATCTTAGAACATGATGTGTACATGCAAAGAGAGGATCATATGATAATAATTATTAAAAGATAATTTTATGAGGATAAATACAGAAGACTCAGGGAATCAGGAGTGGTTTCCAAAAGCAATGATATTTGAGCTAAGACTTAAGAAATAGGGAGAAGTTTTGAAGGCAGAAGGATCAATGTGTAAAGGCATTAAGGGATGTTGATTCTGGAAATTGCTAAAGTTTGTCTGGTTTCAAGATGGTCAGGGAAGCCTAATAAAAATGATAGGAGATGAGGACTGGCAAGTAAGTGGAGGTAAAATTTTGAATGGCTTGTATTTGAATGGCAGATGAGTTTAGATTTTATCTGATGAAAAAAACTTGATGAAGAAAATGACAACCTTTAGTAGTTTTAGAAAGATGCTGACTTCAGTTTGGAAAAGGAAAGACTGAATGAGAAAGTTTGGGAGACAAGAAGGAGCATGTTGCCAAGCTCTGGCACACGCCTGTAAGCCCAGCAGCTCAGGAGGCTGAGGCAGGAGAATCATGAGTTCAAAGCCAGCCTCAGCAAAAGCAGCTCAATGAGACTCTGTCTCTAATTAAAATACAAAGTAGGGCTGAAAATGTAGCTCAGTGGTCAAGTGCCCCTCAATTCAATCCCAGTAACCAAAAAAAAAAAAAAGGGGGAGCATGTAGCAGAGGACTAGAAGCATCAGTGCTTGGACTAGATGAGGGCCTTGGGAATGAAAAGTGGATGAGGGTAGAGCAGAGTGATTTGCTGAATGTAGACAAAGTAGATTGGTGATGGGTAGAATAAAAAGAATATGTAGAAGATGTATCCTAAGTGTGTTACCATAGCATCCCCAAAATAGTTCAAGGGCTACCTTCCAGTCATCCTTTTCATATCACACTTATTCCTTTCATGGAATTTACAAATGTTTGTTGTTATTTTAAGCATTTCATTCAATTGTGAATCTGAAGCTTATGCATTTTATTCTTGGCTAGTATCCTTTATAATATATCCGGTCATTTTAAATTATGAGTTTTCAGTAAGCACTTGCTTTCTTGAACTAGGTTGAGAGGCTGATGCCTGGCTTTACATTGAACTTGTAAGAAGCCAGTTAAGCTTTCTTATCAGCTTCTAACTTGGCTGCCTTGGAGTGGGTTTATGAGAGATGAAAAGCTCTGAAACCTGCTGGAACCATTAGCTCCACAGTGTATAATTTTATAAATTGATTTCATTTCTTTGGATCTCTTATCTTTTCTGATATATTTAATAGTTGCTTGGAGTAAGACTGCTGATCCTGTTATATCATTCCTTAGGCTACCAGCTGTCCTTTTCTCAGGGGATTTTCATGCAAATAAGAGTCCTTTGACCTCTTCCCTTACACTAAAATCCTAGTGGGTAAAAAAGCAAAAATAGCAAGATGACATATGGGGTGCAAGAGAAAATCTGGATAATTTATCTTTCCTAGACAGAACTCAAAGTTTTCCTTGGATTAAACTCACAGTATCTTCTCGAATTTAAAAATAAATGTTTTTTAACACCCTCCCCCCTTTTTTAATTGAATGTGACTTTATAGTCCATCCTGACAAAGATTACACTTGGTTSTTAAAGAAGAGTTATAACAATGGCTTAATTCTCTAATGCCAAGTATTTTAATTACATAGTTTTTAGGATATGGTACATGAATAGATATTCAAGGTACAATTTAATGTTTAACAATATTTTATATTATATATATGTCTTACATATGTGTATGTGTGTGTGTGTGTGTATATATGTGTGTGTGTGTGTGTGTGTGTGTGTGTGTATAATTAACTAATTTGGTGATGCGTCTCTTTGCAAAAACTGCATGCAGATTCTGACAATGATAATTTTGCATGACCCATATTATGCAATAAATTCTGAACACCAGGACAGATTTGTTCCTGGAAGTGACACTATTTTTTAGTTGAAACTTCAATAAATTTGAGTGAACATTTAGATTTTATACATTATTGTTGAATACCCCCACACACAAATACATACACCCCTACCAATTGCTTTAAACATGAAATTTATTTGGAGACTTAACTTTTTCCCCCATTAGCCTCTAAAGATAAACCTAGATACACCTCCTTTGAATCCATCATTTTCTCAGGGTTTTCTCTCTTCTCTTATTCAGAAATTCGAATTCATTAAGCTGTAATAGGTCCTGCAGTGATTATGTGCATAAACTTTGAATTAATAACTTAAGCATAGTGTTTTCACTATTGAGATTTTTAATGTCATGATGAATTATTTAAGTTTCTGTATTTTCATTGATCTCTTGTCTTTGCTGAATTTATTTAAAATATTTTCAAAAGATCATTAGATTTGTCTATTTTGGCTATTTCAGTTTAATTTTCTATTTTCTTTTTCTTGCTTAAATCTTAAGTCTCCTGGTCTGTAGGAAAATGGAAGCTTTATAGTCAAAATAGTTTTTATTTTTAATTTGCCATTTTGAAAGTTTTAATATTTAGCTACATTAGGTTTAATTTTTTATTTGAAAACAAGAAAAAACTTCTTTAAATACAAGGAAAATGCTACTAATCTAATATAGCATCATAGAAAATAAAGATTGGTGCAGTTTTTCTTATGAAGTTACTGTTCCTGTTCACTTGCTAATACAGATGAGATTTAAGCATTAGGAAGTTGATTAATTATCTTTCTGTTTTTTAAGAATCTGTACTAGACATGCACATTTAATCCCCATTTAAAAAATGTTCCCCCAAAACACATATTAATCATTTAAATATCAGATGTATATTCTTGATTTGTTTTACATACTTTCCGAAGAGTTTGTATTTACATAATCTTAAAAGTCAGTTTAAGGGCTGGAGATATAGCTCAGTTTGGTAGAATGCTTGTCTTGCGTACACAAGGCTCTAGGTTTAATCCCCAGCACCACAAAAACAAAACAAAAAACCCCATCAGTTTAAAAAAATGATATGTGAAAACTTTCATAATCAAATAAAACTTTTTAAAAATTCCATATAGTGACTCCTGTCCTCGTCCAGCATTAGATCTGATCCCTTAAATACAGTAGGGAAAGTAGTGGAGATAGGATATTTATATTTATGTGTAGATGGGAGGGTGTGCCCTAGAAATGGCAGAGAGAAAACCGAGTTACTAGATAGTGTTAGTAGTGGCAAGTGGAAAAAGCAAAGTCCTTTCAGTGCTGTCAGATGAAACCCTAGTTTGATCTATTATTATAGCACATACTCAAATCTGTTATAATTATTTATAACACATAATCATAATTAAAGATTTATATTTGAGGTATACCTAYTTGTCCATACTGTGACTAGCAATCCATATAATCCATATGATAATAATAAAAATAGATTGTTATAGTGCTTACTTTTATACTAGAATGCTTTAAGTTTTATCTGTGTATTAATTCATTTACTTCTCACAGCCCCATGAAGTATTATTAACTTGGATACAAAAAGGTTAAATTTTTTCTGGCTTTCTTGAACACAGTAGGGGAAGTGGTAGATGTTGATTATTAATATACATGTATAAACGGGAGGGTATGTTTTAGCAAAATGGCTGAGAATTATTTAAATTTCTGAAATTGAGGATTTGGGTGTATATTTAATTTTGCTAAATCATGATGTTTTATTCCACTGTCAGATTTCATTCACAATGTAGCAGATGTGCTCAATTTAATTTTAATTTCTCTCTTTTGGTAGGGAAATACGAAAGCCACACCCGTGTACACACAGGTGAGAAGCCCTTTGAGTGTGATATTTGTCACCAGCGTTATTCGACAAAGTCTAACCTAACTGTTCACAGAAAGAAGCACAGTAATGAAACAGAATTTCATAAGAAGGAGCACAAGTGCCCTTATTGTAATAAACTTCATGCAAGCAAGAAGACTTTAGCAAAGCATGTTAAGAGGCAAGTATTATCTTGCTTCTATTATATACAATATGGTGCTTTCTAATGTAAGCATGTAGTAAACTAAAAATAGTCAACTAAAAATATCTATGAAAATGCTTATCTCTAATTCTTTCATTGCTTAATATTTTGCAGACTACAGATTAAGAAGAGCAAATATTAATTCATCCAAGTTTTTTGTTTATGGTATTGAGATAAGTTTTTTTTGATGTTGAAACAGGAATATAGTCTGTAACAGGTTTTAAGGTAGAGCATTTGATTATGTTGTTTTCTGTTTTGGGGTTGGATAAGAATGTCTTCAGAAATATGTGGTTTTAGAATTATAAGAATTTGCTTTACATATTTAATGTGTGAAAGATTGTAAGAAAATATTTAATATTGTATTGCATATTAGCTCTAAAAATAAATTTACTGAAATGTGGAGTAAAAAAGTGTAATCAGTTACTTTGCAGGTTATTTATAAATTGCTAGGGTTCCTGAATATTTTTAAAATATGGCTAAATTTTTTTTATTTCTGCATAAACTGAGGTTTAAGAATAACTTTGTTAAAAATCATGATGATAATCTATATTCTTACCAGAGATGCCTATCACTTTAAGAAAAAAATCAGTGCCTGATTCTTGTAATTACAGTTAGTGGATTTATATATTATATTGACTTAACTAGTATCATCTTTTCCTAATAATTTTTATTTTTCTTTGGTAGATTTCATCCTGAAAATGCACAAGAATTTATTTCCATCAAGAAGACTAAGAGTGAAAGTTGGAAATGTGATGTAAGGGTTTTTAATTTGTATTAGAAATACAAAGTAAATATAACGTTGCCTTTTGGGAAAGAAAGGTGATTAGGTTTTTTTGTTTGTTTGTTTTACAATGCTGAGAATCAAACCCAGGTCCTTGGGTGTGGGGGAGTTGCTCATGCTAGGCTAGATTTTAAAGTAACATAACTGAACTTATCCCACTTTTAGTATCTTTCTTTTTTGTAAAATTAGTCTAGTGGTTTTTATAAATTAATCCTGATGAGTTAGTTTTGGGTGGTAGATCTGATTAGAAATCCTAGTTTTTATTGATACTGAAATCACTATACCAGGTATTTACAGTTGGGTATATCATCTATGACATTATTTTTGCAGAGTTGAAGTGTTAGAGTTGCTTCCCCCTGACTCCCACCCATTTGTGGTTATCTGTTGCTGCACAATAAACCACCTTAAAAATGTAGTGTACTTAAAACAACTATTTTGTTGTATCTTACCTTTTTGTGGGGCAGGAATCCAAATTTGGGGCAGAGCTTTGCTAGGTAATTCTTCTGTTTTACATGGTATCATTTGAAGTCATTCAGTTGTTTTTAGGTGATTGTTTTTAGGTGGTGATTGGACTGGTTTGGTTTGGGGCCATTTCCAAAGTGACTCAATCACCTGGTTGGCAGCTTGGTGTTTTCTGACAACTAGGATTTCAGCAGGAATGCACCAATAACCTAGAGCCTCCTCTTCTTTTTCATTAGATTACATCAACTTCCTTCTTGTATAGTATTTGGGTTCTAAGACTGATTATACTGTGTGTTTTGAGAAGCCTAGTAAGAACTACAAAGTTAGAGCCTAGCCTCAGAAGTCACATATCATAACTTCCACAACAGAAATCATCATTCAAGGAGTCATACAGCCAGGGCAAATTTAAGGGGAGGGGAATTAGACTTCATTTTTTAGTGGCAAGGAATTTGTAGGAAAATTTATTCTGTTATACTCCTGAAATATTTTTTGAGTATTTAGATGAATATGTTTAATATGTTGTATTGTTATTTTTCTTCTTTATAACAAGGATTCAATTTATATACWTAGCAAAATTCTCAGTATTCTCAGCATTTCTCTGATTTCTGTTTCTAGAAATTGAATTTTGTTATTSGAATCTACATAAGATGATGTCTTCCCCTTACTAAGTTCATCATCTGTGGCTATAAAATGATGATATTGATAATTATGTCTACTTCATAGGATTATTGTGAAAATTAAATATATTTTGTAAATTAGCCTTGTGCTTTATGTTACATGTTGTTGCAACAGCCTCTCTTTCTCTTTTTTTCTATTTCTGATATATGTTACATTTCTTTAAGAGTTGTGTTTCTTTCTGATCACTTCAAGAGAAAAATTTTGAAATTATTTTTCTGTGATTTCTTGTTCATTTTTCAAATCAAATATATGGCAGCACTGATAAAACTTTTTTATTCCCGATACATAAATTGTTTAAACTATATATTGAAATTAAGAATTAAAATATATGTTGAATTAAGAAATTACTGTCTAGAATTAAGTAAAATTATTTTATAGCTCTATTAAACATATAAGGAGTTGAAAATCAGTTAGCTTTATAGCTGATACAAAATCATTTCTTGGAGTAATTCCTCCAAAGTTTTTTTCCTTCACATAATTTGATTGTACTTTTGGTAAGTTTTCTGTTTGTAGAAATTTCTTACTTGAATATATATATATATTTTTTTTTTCTCATTATGACCTTGTATTTTAGTTTTTAATTAAGGTTTCCTTGCACTTTATATACATTCATTTAGATTTGTAAGAAATCTTTTACAAGAAGGCCACATTTGGAAGAACATATGATTTTACATTCTCAAGATAAACCTTTTAAGTGTACCTATTGTGAAGAACATTTTAAATCAAGGTTTGCACGGTTGAAGCATCAGGAAAAGTTCCATCTGGGTAAGGAAGTTAATTTTTTTTAAAGCACCCATGGCAATTATTGATTATTATTACATCATGTTGGAGGGGACTATTGAAGTACTCTTTTTTCTTCTGAAAGTGCCTATTTTTTAAGTAATTATTTCCCATTATGCCCCCTGCCACCACATATGCATAACATCCCCGTTATTATCATTGCCCAACAAAGTAGTATATTTGTATAATATGAACATCCAAGTTTTGGTAGTAATGAAAAAAGTTGCTATGAATATCTATGTGTAAATTTTTGTGTGGACGTTAAGTTTTCAATTCTTTTGGGTAAATCCCTAGCAGCATAAGTACTGTATTGAATGGTAAGATTATACTTGGTTTGTAAGGAACCACCATCATCTCTCTTCCCAAGTGGCTGTATCATTGTACATTTCCACTAGCCATGAAAGAATTCCTGTTGCTTCACATCCTTGGTATCTGTTAGTCAGCTTTTCATCGTTGTGACAAAATATCTGGGGGAAAAAAAAGACCCAAAGAAGGAAAATGTTATTTTGGCTTATGATTTCAGAGGTTTTAGCCCATTTTCATCTGGCTCCATTGTTTTAGGCCTGTGGTGAGGCAGTACATGATGGTGGAAGGGTATGGTAGAGCAAAGCTGCTCACCTCATATCGATTGGGAAACAGAGAGAGGAAGGGACCAGGGACAAGATATATCCTTCCAGGGCATACCCCCAGTGACGTGTTTCCCCCAGTGAGGGACCACCTATAGTTTCCACCACCTTCCCAAAATGCCATCAAATTAGGAATCCTTTCATGGGCTCATCCACTGAATCATGATCCAATCATATTCCAAAACCCCAATGCTAAACACTGCTGTACTGGGACCAAGCTTTCTTTCTTTCAAAAAAAAAAAAAAAAAGAATTTTTTTTTTTTATTGGTTGTTCACAACATTAAAAAGCTCTTGACATATCATATTTCATACATTAGATTCAAGTGGGTTATGAACTCCCAATTTTTACCCCAAATACAGATTGCAGAATCACATCGGTTACACATCCACAATTTTAAATAATGCCCTTTAATAACTGTTGTATTCTGCTACCTTTCCTATCCTCTACTATCCACACATGAGTCTCTGGAGGACTTTCTAAATGGTAACTATAAMAACAGAATTTAGTATTGTCAGTATTCTGAATTATGGCCATTGTAATAGGTGTTTAGTGGTATCTCATTGTTTTAATTTATGTTCCTAATTGCTTATGATGTAAAGCATCTTTTTATGTTTATTTGCTATTTGTGTATACCTTTGGTGTGATGGATGTCTACTAGATCTTTGGCCYGATTTTTAAAAAAAATTTTTTTTAAGTTGTAGATGATATTTTTATGTGGTGCCTTACATGTGCTGGGTAAGCACTCTACCACTGAGTCACATCTCTGGCCCTTTGGCCCAGTTTTTGATTGGGTCCTTTATTTTATTTATTGTTGAGTTTTGAGAGTTCTTTGTATATTTTGGATAATATATATAGCCCTTTTTGAAATATTTCTTTTAAAGTATTTCCTCCCAATCTGTGGCTTGTCTTCATTATCTTAACAGTATCTGTCACAGAAGAAATTTTTTATTTTAATAAATCCAGCTTATCAATACTTTAGTGGATTTGCCTTTGGTGTTATGTCTAAAAGCCATTGTCAAACCCACAGTCATCTAGGTTTTTGCCACTATGTCTTAGAATTTTTATAGTTTTACATCTTACATTTAGGTCTGTGATTCATTTCAAGTTCATGTTTGCAAAGACTCTAAGGCTTATGTCTAGACTAATTTAAAAAAAAAAATTGCATATGGTAACCAGTTTTCTCAGTTKTGTAGCATTCATTTATTTGTCATATCAGTTGATCATATTTATGTGACTCTGGGCTCTTTTATGTTCTGTTTGTGTAATTGTCTTTTCATCTGCCAATACCATACTCCCTTGACTTTATAGTTAAGTCTTGAAGTAAGTTTTCTAACTTTGTTCTTCTCCTTCAATATGGTGTTGGCTATTCTGGATTTTTTTCCCTCTACATATATAAACAGGAGAATTTGTTGATACTTAAAGAATAATTTGCTGGGTTTTGATTGGGATTGCATTAATTCTTGGGTCAAATGGTGAAGAACTGGCATCCTCACAATATCAAGTCTTCCTGTCACTGATCATGGACTATATCTCCATTTATTTAGTTGTTCTTTGATATTTTTTTTGTTGTTCTTTGATTTTTTTACATCATAAATCATGTTGATGTCTACTCATTTTGTTAGATTTTTTTACCTGTTTCATTTGGGGAGACTGTTGAATCACTATTAGTGAACTTTGGATATTAAATTAATGAAAGAAAGTTATACTGATTTGGAGGAGTACTGTATATACTGCAGTTCCCACACATTAGTAAATGTGATGGTTTTTATTTTGGTAGCAAATGTGTTCAAGGTCATAAACAACTTTGTGGGKTTTTTTGTACCATGGATTGTACCCAGCCACTGAGCCACATCCCTAGCCCTTTTATTTTTTATTTTGAAACAGGGTCTCATTAAGTTGCTTAGGGCCTCACCAATTTGCTCAAATTGTCTTTGATCCCCCAGCTTCAACCTCCCRAGCTGCTGAATTACAGTTACATGCCACTGTGCCTGGCAATAATTCATTCTTTGATTATTGAATAGGTTGGGGTGAAGCATTTTTATTGTAYAAAACACTCATTTTTCAAGGAATAGTGTAAACTTAGCATATGTGAAATGAAATACTGTACTTGATGAATTTTTTTTTGCCTTATGCCATGGCCAAGGTGGAGACCATGGTCTAGATGGTGGTATAGTTTGATAAATTATATAATTAATCCCCAAAACAAATTATTGTCATCCCAGGGGGAGGCCTTTATCCTATCCTATTGAATGTTTTTACTAACATAAGTAAGAATTCTTTACAGTAAATACAAATAATGCAGGTAAATAGTTTTACACATGGTATAAAGCTGGCTGGGGTACTTAATATACCTAAAAATAAAAATATATTAAAAAATAAAGCTGGTTGTAGTGGCACATAACTGTAATCCCAACTACTCAAGAGACTGAGGTAGGAGGATTGCAAGTTCAAGTTCAGCCTAGGCAATTTAGTATGATATCCTGTATTTTTCAAAATAATTTTTTTTTTTTAAAAAGGGCTGGGATATAATTCAGTGCCACAGTACTTGTCTGGCATGTACAAATTCTGATACTGAAAAGAAAAAATTCTGGATGTTATGAAATAGGTCAAAACAAATAAGATTAGGAATAAATACAAAATGGTAGACTCATGGGAATGATCTTTTACTCATTGAGTCTTGAAAAAACATAACATGGTGGTACATGATCCAAATTCCTCATATTATAGATGGGCTTAATAGCAAAGKCTTTTTAGGCAAAGGCACAGTGTAAACAAATAGACTGACAAAAATCAGTATAGTGTTAAACTATGTTAATAAATGTGTTTTTCAGAATTAGGATATTAATAGTATAAATGGTTTTGGATATTGACAAATATGGAGAAGGGTAGTTTTGGTGATATAGGATCTTAAAGTCAYGTCATTAAAAAAACTGTTGAAGTACCTGAAATATTTTATTTTGAGAAAGAGAATCTTCCTCTCTCTTCAGATACTTTCAAGGGTTTATCATACAATAAGGCATACTTAATCTTTGTGATTCTAGTACACAAAGCTGGTTTATACAGAATTCTTTTTCTATCCTAACCCTCTCCAAGTTGCCTTTGCTAAATTATTCTTTAATAGTATTTCATCTGAGAAATTCTAAGGAATCATCATATGGAAATAGTTTTTGTAGTTACTAAATCTGTAGTTGGAGACATGTTCATAATTGGAAGTTGTATGTGAAAAACTCTTTTAGACTTTAGTACCAGGAAAAATAGTTTTCTCTGGGTTTTGTTTCTTTTTGAAATGAAAAACAATTATTAATATTTTTTGTAGAAACATCCTAGCAAAACTTAGTAAATTGTATAACCAATGTATTTGCTTCTGCCTCTTTTTCCTGTTCCTGATTATTACAACATTTATTAAATAAATGACTTAGTAAGTAAGTAAACATTTTAAGTACTTTGGGTGGAAATTCTAAGATACAAGTTTAGTTTTACTACCAATTATTTATTAAGTATTAGAACTTAAAATTAAAGTAATTGTTTTGTGATAATTACTTTCCCATCAATGAAAGCATCCTAGTACATAAGCATATGTCAAACTGGGCAGATGTTAATGTTGTTTACAGAAATTCCTATAAAGGGATTGAACTAGAAAAATTTTCAGGCTTATTGAAAACTTATTTTTTTTTTCTTTTTCTTTCTTTTTTTCTTTTTTAGTTGTTGATAGACCTTTATTTTATTTATTTATACATGGTGCTGAGGATGGAACTCAGTGCCTCACACATGCCAGGCAAGTGAGCCACAGCTCCAACCCAAAAGGTTATTTTTCTGTCATGTTTCAGCATATATTTAGGAGAGGTATTCCAGTTTACGAAGTAGTAAGGTTTAGCTAACCTGCTAACTAAAGTTCACTGAGAAAAATATCCAAGGGAAATACATTGTAATAAATTTTTATTGAATAATTGCTAAATATATGATTAACTTTGTGTTAGAATCTGGGTATATTATCCCTTCCAAGTTAAATTACAATATAATGGATAGCCAAACAATTAAATTAATCACTATGTTATAACACTGTGCTCAAACAAATATTTTACATATGGTTAGTTAGTTCATATGATTTTTTTTTAGAGAGAGAGAGAGAGAGAGAATTTTAATATTTATTTTTTTTTTAGTTCTCCGTGGACACAACGTCTTTGTTTGTATGTGGTGCTGAGGATCGAACCTGGGCCACATGCATGCTAGGCGAGCGTGCTATGGCTTGAGCCACATCCCCAGCCCCAGTTCATATGATTTTTAATAAGAGTTGACATTCATTACGAGAAAAACGTTAACCCATTTTGTCCCAAGATTTCAATTTTATAGGTGTAGGACACCTATAAAAATTTAAACTTATCAACGAATATACCACTTAAGGTAACTTTGAAATAATATTTGAGTAATATGTTCATAGAATTGAAAACTTGGGACTTAAGGGGTAATAGGCGTGGCATGATGTGGAATTGAAGTACCAGATTTCAAAGCCAATATGCAGCTTTCTTGAGTTGTAACTCTTGTGTTTCTTTTCACATTCTTTTTTAAAATACTTTATTTTAGTTGTAGTTGGACATAATACCTTTATTTTATTTTTATGTAGTGCTGAGGATCGAACCCAGTGCCCTGCATGTGCTAGGTGAGCGCTCTACTGCTGAGCCACAACCCCAACCCCCCTTTTTCACATTCTTTATCTTCCTTTGAACTTGCCATTGAGTGGAACTTATTCTCTCCAGTTGTATATTTGATAAAATCATGGTGAAATTTGGAATCCAGCAAAGGTCAATATTACTATGGCAAATTTGGGTTTAATTTTGTAGGACTAAATAGAAATGTACCACAATATTTTAAGTCTACTTAGTATCAATAAAAACTTGTTATTAGGAACAGCAATGTATTTCCAAATTGTGAACCCTCCAAAAAAAAAAAAAGTTTTTTATCTTTTCAAAGTTTTTTGTTACCTACTTTTCACAGATATTTAGTAGGTGGCATTTTCATTTGGTTCAGCTTGATTTCAAATTAGGAATTAGGAACTGGCCATTTTAATTTATTAATACATTAGTTCATTCAGCATTAATTATGTCTATTACTTAACAAATCCTCTACTTGATTCTAGGATTGTGGAAATGATTGTCACTTGCTTTCCAGGAATAACAATCTAAAAAAGAAGAAGAAAAAAACTATGAACCAATAAGTGTAACATATTATAACATATGCACTGATAGTGGTAGGCATAAATGTATAACACACCTACTAAATTTAACTTAGTGTCTCTCTTTGAATGCATACTATTCTTTCTTTTTTTTAAGGTCCTTTTCCATGTGATATATGTGGACGTCAGTTCAATGACACTGGAAATTTGAAACGCCACATAGAATGTACTCATGGTGGAAAAAGAAAATGGACTTGCTTTATTTGTGGAAAATCAGTACGAGAAAGGTGAAGATTTATCTGCATACACAGACAAATTTTAGCACTTTTATGTAAAAAATAATTATTATGAATTTGGCTTATGAAGTGTAGAGTAACTCAAGACACAAAATACMTGAATACTGCTTTAGTTTAAAATATAAAGAAAAAAGAAGAAATTATATGAAATATTGTAGCTAATGATTTGGAGCTAGGATTTGCAGGTTTAGATGATTGATTTAACTTAACATTTCATTTGTTTCTGAAATCCCACTAAAATATATTAAAGGCATTATGTTTGCTTTTTAAAGACATTAAGCTACAAAGAGAAGAGAAAGATAACATGGCAACTCAGGTTTGAAAGCTATATAGCAGGTGAATCACTTGTAACTRACTTAGTACATCTAAGAAAAGACAAATCCCAAAGTACCAAGGGAAATGGAAAAAGCCTAGTTTGTCACAGAATCCACACAAGGTATAGGAACTAGCAGTATTGAGTACCACTGGAACTCTAGTGAAGGAGAGACAGATCAAAAGCACTAGAGTAAATACTTTGAAAGTTTTTGAAGTTAGATCATTAGATTCTTTTCCATAGACCCAATGTGCCATTTCTGCTGGGCATCAGCCCTTTTCCCAAAAGAGGATTGCAGGACTAGAATATGCCACAATGTTATATGATTAAATGCCTTGTGAATGTTGAAAGGAGTAAGCCCTAGGGATTCTTCTGCTAATATCTTGTCCCTATCACTGAATCATGAGCAGATAGTCAAAGATGTAGAGGAAAACCTTTAACATGGAAAATAGATTATAGCACAAACAGAGGGGGTGGGAAAAGGACTGTAAGGAAACAGATTATGAAGAAAGAAGAAAACTTTTTTTTTTTTAAGTAAACAATTACTAATTGTTTCCCTAGTTGAAGATTCAGAATCCATTATATAAGGGTAGGATACTGTAGGAAAGGATCACTTAATAAATCTCCTAGAAATTCAAAGAACGATGGCCAGAGTATAGATATCAATTGGAGAGCTAAAGGATAAATAGTGAAGGAAAAAAGGTACAAAAATATAAAAAATAAAGATGAGAACATTAGAGGATCGGGGAAATCTAGCATCTGAATAGGAACTTCAGAAAGAATAGAAATAACATAGAGGGCTGGAAATTTATTTTTAATAATGCAAGATTATATCCTGAACTGAAGAATATCAATTGCCAGATAGAAATGACCCARCAGATGCTTAGGTCATTAGATGAAAATATACATCACTGATATTTCAGAGCACCAGAGACAAAGAGAAACTTTTTATATGCTTTTCGTTGGGTAGGGTCACTGCATTGAATAGAATTACTTGGACTTTTCTCAACAGCAACACTAGAAGTAAGATGATGTAATAGTACTTTGAAAATTTGGAAAAAAAAAATAATCCCAACCTACAGTTCTTAAAAGAAAACATTTGCATCTGAGAATAGAATTTGACACGTTTTCATGGTGTTAAAAAATAGCTTTTAATGTCCTATTTCTCATGAACTAATACAGAGTGTRTACTACCAAAATGCAAGAATAATCTCACAAAGGGGAAGACAAGGGCTATAGGAAAACAAAGTTCTAACATAGGAGACAAGCAAAGGGCATTGACAGGAGGATAGTACATGAAAATACCAAAATGTCAGATACGTAACATATGCAATGTGTAGTCCATATTRGTATTAGTGTGGTCTAAGACTTGTTGAGGGTTGTCATTGGTTAAATTACTTGCTAGCATTTTTATCTTTTAACTAGGAGAACAGAATACTAGAGGAGGTCTGGTTTCTTGCCTCTATTCACTCTCTTTAGAACTTCTGTATGCTAATGTTAATTAAGGATATTTAATTTCTTCCACAGAAATGTTATTTTGGGGCTATCCTCAGAATAAAACAACAACAAAAAGGGAATAATTATTTCTGAAGAGGGAGTAAAAAATGAGATTAAGGAGAAGCTTTAAGTCTTAATCTGCACATGTACTTAATGCTATTTTAAACARTACATGTAAATTTTATACACTCTTCAGGATGTGAAAGTTTCATAGTCTAAAGCAGTGAGAAATGTCATTTTCTTAAAATAATAGATGGATATGATGGAGGTATAGTAAAATCATTATAGTACATTATATAAAATCATTTATAGATAGAAAAAATATAGACTATTGTTTGGGCATAAATTAATTTTTCTACTAATAGTATTTCTGTAAAAATAAAAAGTAAGCCAAAAGAAAAACAAAGATAATTCTATCTTTTTACTATAACTACTTAGAAGGTAGGGGTCTGGTTATTTTGGGGGGGTATTTTCCTCAGTGCTGGAACTGTTACTTGTCAAGTGTTGGTGGTCCTTGTAGAAGTGCACCATCTGCTGGTGGAGCTTGACTTTCATTTCATATTAAGCCTTTTAATGAGACTGAAATTAAAAAACAAACTACTATTGACAGCTAAAAGCCTGCAAGTCTCAGTTGCTTTTCATTTCCTTTCCTCTTGTAAATAACATGTCCRTGTTTACTTAGCACATTAGTATGTGGGAAAATTCTGAATGTTAGAATTTCAGGGACTGCTGGTTRTGGTTTACTTGGAGCTGTAATGGTTACACACTAGCCCATCCAGGTCAGTGGGACTGGAAGACTTAGGAAGAGCAAAAATTATATCCTTTATATAGGTTCCTTTTATACATCACCACCTGAAAGTCAGTAACACCTGTATTGTTTTCTTTGCCTTAAAATATCTAACAAGTAATGAGCACACATTTGGAAGGAAAAACTGATAAACTGAATTCCTTAAATATTTTCAACCTTCTGTACTAAAATCCACATAAGTTTTACCCAATTCAGTAGTGATAATTGAGCATTTTTTACTTACACTTCTTTAAAGTGTGCTTAAGTTGTATAGTTAAATCTGTAAGCAACCAATAACAAAGAATGCCACAATCAGTGTTTTTAATTTATTTTTAATGAGAAAGACATAACAAGCATATTTGTATACTGCTGTTCAGTAGAGAGTAAAAATATTGTAGGAAAAAGAATTGCTATATTATCTCTGGCTTTGTATACCATTCTATTAATCTTTCTGGAAATTTGTAGTATATACATGGGTATATAATAAAACTTTAAATTTATGTATTTTTAACACAGAACTACTTTGAAAGAACATTTGAGAATCCATAGTGGAGAAAAGCCTCATCTTTGTAGTATTTGTGGACAAAGTTTTCGTCATGGAAGCTCATATAGGTAAGTAAAGCTATTTTTCCCTATGTGAGGTAAGATACAATTACATCTCCATTTTATTTATTTCTTATAATGTTTTTTGTTGAATATTTCTAAACATATGTAAAATTGTATAAAAAGCTTTCTGTTCTCTACAATTTTTAATATTTATTAGCATTTTAAAAGATTTATAAAGAATATTATTAAATGTTTCCTCATTGCCAAATTTACTRAAGGTTTTACTAAGTTATTATTTTAATATTTATTCATTTTTCCTTGAATAAGAATTTATTTGGAACCTTTTTGTTTCAAATTTGGTGTTGTTTGTTTGTTTGTTTTTGCTTATGTTTTTGTTTGCAGTACTAAGGATCCAATCCAGGGCCTTGAGCATGCTAGGCAAATGCTATATCATTGAGTTACGTTCCCAGCTGTATTTCTTCATTCTTCATTATACAAGAATATCTTTAGTATAAAAACATGGCAAGTTTAAAACTCTAGAATTCTCAATTTTATGAATGAATCTCTGACCACATTTGAAGTTTATGAAAATGTTTTTCTAGATATATAACTGCTTTTTGGAAATGCTTGTATCATTTTAATTTTATGATTGGTTTCTAGAATTTTAGTCATAAGGCTTTAGTGTTTACACTTTCATTTATTATTTTCCTCTTAAATTTAGACAGATTGTTTTTCCTTTAGATGCAGTCCAGTTAGATTACTGATTTTAGTTATGGTAGAATCAACACTTATTTTGGCAACTTGAATGAGAAATCTCTTCATTTTACTAGGAGATATATATATGTATATGTATATGTGTATACATACATATATATATATATAAAATGTGTATATATATATGTGTATACTGTATATGTGTAGGTATATATAATAGATTGTAGGGATAGAAGGATTCAAGTTAAATCAACTTTAGTAATCGAAACCTTTATAATCTGTGTTTGAATGACTATAAAAGGAGTTCCATTTTCCTCAACTAGTGCAAAGAGTGGTAAAGTGTAATTTTCATAATGTTGAGTTTTTTTATAATACAATAAATTCTGAACTATCAATTTATAAGTGGTATCACTTGTCTTCTGGAATAGTACTAATCTTCAGTTATTTGCTGTGTTATTTGCTATTATTATTATCATGTGTTTAGTCACTTGTACAGTTATTCCATTTGTCTGATTCTATTCCTGTAATATTCCTCCTTTCGATGTTTCTAAGACTTGGYCAGTCAGATAACAACCCCAGATATTTGGTAGATTCATGAAATAGATTTAAGATCTAACATGTTGGGAAGAAATATTATCCAAAAGTGGTTTAAGCATGTGCAAATGTTAAAATGCTTTTTTGGAAGTGGTGAATAGAACCCTGGGGCCAATGAACAGAAGACTGAGAAAGGCTCTGAAAGTCACAGATAAAAGACGAATAGTACCTGAAGGAGGTTGGGTAGACAGCCCATTTTTCATTATTTATTCATTTTCAAGTATTTGTCATCTGTTTCAATGGTCTGCACTTTTTTTTCTTTATAGGCTTCACTTACGAGTACACCATGATGACAAAAGATATGAATGTGATGAATGTGGAAAAACATTTATTCGTCATGACCACCTTACAAAGCACAAAAAAATACATTCAGGTAGACTATATTTTGTTTTTCTATTTTCAGAATTTTTTAATACCTAAAAAGAACATCATAATACATCATGTTTACATTAGCTGTAGTTTTAATAATTAGGTGATATTGATTACTCCTTTTTAATGCTAATTCTAAAAACCTTTCTGAAAGAAGCATCTAAAAGAGAAGTAATTTTATGACATTCCCTGAAATTTTAATCATATATTTGGTCACCCTTTGTGACTACAAAGTATAGTTTAAAATTTAATTTTAAACAAATTCTCAAAAAATTTGAATTTGCATATGATRGTGATATGTGGAATTATTGCTATTGTCACATCCTTAACGGAAGAAACTGTGATAATATTTCCCACTTTGATTGTATTTGAGAAATAGCAAAATTTTGATGTTTTAAAGGAAAATGATTGTAATTGTTTATGTTATACTAAATTTTGAAAGCATCTTTGGAAAAGAGTATTTTAATAATCCCGATCAATTTCAGATCTTTATACTGTATTTATAATTTTTACATTCTGGGGATTTCTTTCATATTTTCCTCTTAGATTGATGTTCAGGAAGTTCTAAGAGAGTCAACTATGTGAGCACAATAATGGGAAAGAGCCATCTCTAAGAGCACAGTAGAACAGGTGATTATTCTAATAAGCATAATTTAAAATATAAAGTATACAACAAATAATAGTTATTTTCTTAAATYATATCAGTGAGGCAGATTGCAGTTATTTTCAATTTTTTGTAATTTTTAGTTTTGTATAGTTTTTTACTATTGGGGATTGAACCAGGGCACTTGACCACAGAGCTGCATCCCCAGCCCTTTTTTGTATTTTTATTTATAAACAGGTTCTTGCTGAATTGCTTAGTGCCTCGCTTTTGCTAAGACTGGCTTTGAACTCAAGATCCTCCTGCCTCATCTTCCCTAGCCGCTGGATTACATATGTGCAATACCACACCCAGCTGAGATAGTGATTTTTAAAGACCAAGTATTTGTAGCTAAATGTAAAAATAGGAAATCACCTAGGATTTTTCATTACATTTGCATTTTGGCTTATTGCAAAAGTAAGAAATCCCACAGATGAAAATCTTTCAAAAGCAAAGTACAAAGATCTGAAAATGTTCAGGTCCTTTTTATAAATAGTAAAACAGCCTCTTTTCAATGTAATGTATGTTCATTTGAGGTGTTCACATCTAGACATATATATCTATATAAACAACTAAAAAATATCCTGGGTTTTAAAGTAATTTCATTTATTTTGCTCTTTTACATTGAAAGGTAAGATTTGAAATCTACAGCAGAAGGCTGTTAATTTCTTTTCCAAGTGGATAAAGGATTTACATTCGTGAAATTAAATATAGATTCCCTTAGGAAAGATGCTTAAGAAAGGAATATAAAGGAAATAGCCCAGAATAATAGGTGGTTTTACTTTCTTGGTTTATTTCCTAACATGTGATCTTATTGTTTGGTCATTTATTTATGGGGGCGRGAAACAAACTGTAATGTATACTATAATCAAAGTATTTGGAACTTTATTTTTAGGTGAAAAGGCTCATCAGTGTGAAGAATGTGGAAAATGTTTTGGTCGTAGGGATCATCTCACTGTTCATTACAAAAGTGTGCACCTTGGTGAGAAAGTGTGGCAAAAGTAAGTGACAAAGTAAAATTTTTCATAATTACTACATAGGCTGAGTCTTGATTGAGGAAGAGTTAGAGCTTTTTGTTTAATTACGGATAGGTTAATCAGCTGTTTTTTTTTTTTCTAGTTTATCATAGCTTCTTTATAGATCTTAAAGAATTGAGCAAGACATTTTTTCCTGCTTATTTTCACTGAATTGAAGGAGTAAGAGGGGGTAGACATAGACTTTGACTAAATAATACTCTTTTGCAAATATCTTAGTCCTCACAATTAAATTTTACATTTGAGATTATTTAACTCAAAAATACTCTTAGGCACTATAGTATTCTGCTCACTAAGTTAACTTTTGGGTAATTTATAGTTTTATGTCTATGATAAAAATGAGGGGCAAGTATTTCATTCCTTGAAATTTATTTGATTTATAAGTGCAAATATCAAATATTTATTAAGAAGTGAAATGATGAGAGCATTGTCAACTTTTTGATGAATGTGAATTTTGAGATTGCTGCAGTTTCTAATCAGCCTCAGTATTTGTTTCTTTAATGTTTTAATTTACATAAAGTGAAATTTTCTCGTTTTAGAGAATAGTTCTGTAAGTCATATAATCACTACCATCAGAATACAGACTATTTCCATAACCTCAGAATTTATACCCTTTGTATTCAGTTGCTCTTCCCTTTAGCCCACTATTGATCTGTTTTTGTCCTATTAATTTTTTCTTGTATATTTAAATAGCTGATATAAAAAGTGATTTAAAATAGTTGAAAATCTGAAGGCTTCTTTTTATGGATTTTTGAATATAACTGGAGGAATAAGAACCAGCAACAAGCTCCATACTTAAAAGTATCCATGTTTCTGTAGAATTCTATGCTTTATTCATTTGATAATTATATGTACAGTTATAAAATTAGAACTTATTTTCATTATTATTAAAAATTACATTGAAAAATGCAAACATTTTTATTTTCTTAGATATAAAGCAACCTTTCATCAATGTGACGTTTGTAAGAAAATTTTTAAAGGAAAATCAAGTCTGGAAATGCATTTTCGGACACATTCAGGTAAGACTTAATGGGTACTTCATATATACTTTGGTGAGRTTATTTAGGAGTAAAATATGCCTATATTTGTTCTTGGTTAAATCATTTTCCTCATTAAGATGTCTGCTCATTATATTGGAGTTTATGTGAATAAGCAATATTGTGGTCTTCTAGTCTGTATTCTAAAAGCTTCAGTACTTTTGAATATCATTATTTAGAATTTGGAAAATTATTCTCCTATGTGGCTTATTCTCATCCATACATGTTTTGCTTATGTAATCCTCAGAGTAGTGATTATATATTTACTTCAACAGTTGTCTTGTTGAAACAGTAATACATTAGTTAAAATTGGCATAAACTGATAGAAATCTGGGATTGGATTTTAGCCTTGATTCATATTTTTAAGTTCAAGGTAAATTGTCTTTATAAGATCTTTGTGCTGTAGTGTAGCATATAAAGTGTACAAATCTTAATGGACAGATCAATGAGTTTTTATAATTACCATGTCAATGTAGCCACCCCTCAGATCAACATATAGAATACTGCCAGGACCCCAGAGGCATCTTCCCTGTCCCCTCCTTGCAGAGATAATGACTATGTTGACTTATATCGATAAAAATCAGTTGTGTCTGTTTGACCCTCATATAAATGGAATTACATAATAAGAACATTTTTTTTTTCAAGATCTGGCTTTCACTCAAAAGTATGTCTGTGAGATACTTTTATTTGAGGTTTATTTTTATTCTCATATTAATATACCCTACTTTATTTTGTCCATTCTACTGTGAAGGAAGCATTGTTTAGTTCTTTGAACAGTCTTGTTCATATTTTTGCATAAACATGCAAAAAAATTAATTATTCTGGTATTATACTTGACCCTGCAATTCCTGGCAACAAGGATAGACATTACTAAACAGGTTTTTAAGACAATTGTGTCCATTTGTACTACCACTAGCAGTGTAAGAATTCTAGTTGCTCCACATTTTCACCAACGTTTCATATTTTGTGTTAGTTCACCTGATGGATATGTAGTACTATTTGAAAGTAGCCTTTATTTGCATTTTTGTGATGAGTAGTGATATTCAAACCTCCCCATATTTTATATGCTTGCTGGCCATTTGGGCATCCACTATTATAATTGATTCTTCTCATTTTCTTAAATCTGTTTTTAAATTCATTTKTAAGAGTTCTTTCTATATTAGTTGTATTAGCCCGTTGCTGATTGTATATATTGTAGATATCTTGTTCTACTCTATGACTTATCTTTTCACTTTAGTAATGGTATCTTTCTTTTTTTTGAAAAAAAWTTTTTTTTCAGTTGTCTATAGACACTTATTTTTTTTATTTATTTTTATTGGTGCTGAGGATCGAACCCAGTACCTCATACCTGCCAAGCAACCAATCTACCACTGAGCTACAAACCCATCCCTGGTAATGGTATCTTTCAATGAACAAAGGTTCTGAATTTTAAAGACATCATGTATCTTTTCAAAATTTTTTATATTTATGTTCTTTTCTATTTAAAGAAACTTTTTTATAATATGACTTATTTTATTTATTTTTTAATTACATATGTCAGTGGAATGCATTACAATTCTTATTACACATATAGAGCACAATTTTTCATATTTCTGGTTGTATACAAAGTGTATTCACACCAATTCGTGTCTTTATACATGTACTTTTTAAAAAATTTTTTTTAATTTTTATTTTTCCCTTAGTTGTTGATAGATCTTTATTTTATTTATTTATATGTGGTGCTGAGAATCGAACCCAGTGCCTCACACATACAAGGCAAGTGTGCTACCACTGAGCCATAGTCCCAGCCCTATACTTATACTTTTGATAATAATGATCATCACATTCCACCATCATTTATAACCCGTACACCCTCTCTTCCCCTCCAACTTCTCTTTCTATCTAGAGTTCATCCGTTCCTCCCATACTCCCTCTCCCTATCCCACTATGAATCAACCTCCTTATAGCAAAGAAAACATTGGCTTTTGCTTTTGGAGATTGGCTAACTTCACTTAGCATTATCTTCTTTAACCTCAACCATTTACCTGCAAATGCCATGATTTTATTCTCTTTTATTGCTAAGTAATATTCTATCATGTATATATGCCACATTTTTTTTAATCCATTAATCTATTGAAGGGCATCTAGGTTTGTTCCATAGTTTAGCTATTGTGAATTATGCTGCTATAA